AATGCTTACAGAAGAGGGAAGTTCATCAAAATTGAAGTGAATGCCATGACAACTGCTTCCTTTACATAAATCAGCCAGCGTACGATCCTCTAATGTTGACGCATGTTTTTTGTGTGCAATGCTCAAGTCATGTGAGGTGTGATAGCCACAACCAGACATGAGGCTACTCCAGCCTCCTCTTCTTGCTCTGCGGTGCTACCTGTTCACTCGCTATCTTTCAATTGAACAGTCATAAAGAGTGTACACTCAATTTTATACACTTCTTCCTCCTATTCAGGATGTTGGCTGCTTTGCTGCTTTCTATAGACTTTCCAGTCTTACGCTTTAATATGAAGTCCCAGTGACCAGAAAAATGTTGTTTTTGATCAGACTATTGCGTTTCTTGTATTTGTTTATATATTCAGTGATGTCAAATTTTGCAGCCGTAAACATCTGCTCGATGCTGTGTTCCAATACTCTCTTTTGGATGGGTAAGCAGATCTTCCCCACGAGAGCAAAAAATCGTGTAACATACTAATTTAGAAAGAGGATCAGAATATTCTCGAACAGCTGGTGTTCCTTTTTCTCTCTTCTCTGTTATGATGCTCCATTCCTAAAACAATTCACCTACTTTGTTTGCAAGCTGACAACAGCGAAATCTGCAATCAAGTAGAGTGGTCAATCTGCTGCCCATTCTGGCCTAAATGGCAATTTTCTCTTATTCTATTCATGAATGTTGAAATTTAAGTATGCATTACTATTAATGGATAATTAGTTTTAAATAATATGTCCCTCGATCTACCGAGATGCACACCACTTATCGTTCTCGAAGTGATAAAGACCTTCATACCTCTTATGACGTCAATATTGCACACATACAATACACAATAACTCATTGCATTGCGTCGCCATGGAGGATCGTACTCTCGTTTATTTATGCAAAGCATCTCTCGCCACCCCATCCACGTCCTTTTAGGATATTTACTTCCTTCATCTGTGAGCATATGCGTCAAGCATGAGTAGCTAACCAAAGCAAAATTAGGTATAAAAAATTGGTACATTTGTAGCTGGCTATCTTTACCCTGCTGATGTCTGTCAACTGGCAGACGGGAGCCTAGCACAAGTGAATCAGGATCGCAAGATGGAGAGCCGAGATCTTCTTCGCAACAGTCTCCACTTCAAGGCAATAGTCCTTCGGTTTCCGGTGAGATTAATTTACGAATTTCTTCCAATCAACTTTTCTTTCGAAATAAACCCAACTTTTTTCACATTCAGGGCTTCCTTCCATTTGAAAGGTCCGGCCACCTACGGTCATCACAGGACTCTTCTAAAGCCAGCATTTTCGTACCTACAAAAGCGGTTGCCATGGCGTCAGATTGCGCCCGAAGCAGGCCGGTTTCGGAGGGCGCGGACTCGGATTGCCGAGCTTTCTGCCTTGTAGAATCGGATCTGGCGCAGTACCCGTTGGGAACGGGTCTACACAACTTTGCCCATTTACACACGGCACCACATCTTCGTATGTCACTTTGCGTGTGTGTGTTGATATGCGCCGCTCGGCTCCAAGTCGGGTGGGCAAAATCCCGAGCCATAAGAGGCTCGTTATTGCGGGATGTGCGAGTGCGTGAGTGTGCGCGAACACTCTTCTGTTTGGCGGGTCTGGTTTCCAGTGCGATGCGCAAAGGAGCCATCTTCGCAACCCTCGAAGTCGCCCAGCCGCCGAGTCCGCTCGCCCAACTTCCCACCCGACTGCCTGCCCATCTGCCCGCCCGCCATCATAAAGAGCGTGTGTGTGTGTGTGTGTGTGGGCCTGTGAATGTACACCGGTGCGTCGTGAGGGTGAGATCTGTCTCTGGGCCGGTTCGGCTCGAGTGCAGTCGTCACGTCTCCCGCCCAACAGCCCAACCGCCCAACTCGGACTCGCACAGACTGGCCACACTCCGGACCGGCCTGTCCGTCGTCTCGGACCGGCCCACTTGGCTGTATGTCGGGATTCTGCGAAGCTGTGCACCGGCGATAAAATGCGCTTCTTCACGAGTCCACCCTCATGCAGTGGTGGGTAAACAAAACGGCAAACCTGCAGATGAAGGACTGGCCCATCCCACCACCGCCACCCTCGCACCGCCTCTCCAGACCCAGTTTTCGTCAACGCGACATCATGCCTCCACTCACGTCTAATGGCACAAGACTTTTTCCTCAATTCGTCATGGCGCTTCTTATCAGTCAAGATTGCAAGCCCTCTAGACGGGCCAGGATCGCTGGCGCAGACCCCCAGACCTCGCCCCAACAGCACACCTGACAAGGGGTCTGTCGACTCGTCATCCAGTCTGTCGACCGGTCAGCCGGTCCCTTTTCAATCAGCCTGTTTACCAAATATTTATTTGTAATTATTCTATTTACTATATTATATATTTCTATTGTTAATATCATTTTTTACAATTATAAAACCTTTATTTATTAATTCATTACTCTATTTTATGTATACATATTATTTTATTATTATTAAAAATTTCAAAATATTTAGTTGCCTTGCTATATCTCAAATGAGTATTTATAGGTTTTAAAAAGTACTGTTAAAAATATAAAATATTTATTTACGATTCTTTATTTATTTAATTATATATATATTGTTCATATTATTTTTAAAGTTAAATAGTTTCATTTTATTTATTATGCTATATGTACTATTCATAAAATATATAAACACATTACCCCATTACTTTATCGTATTAACACGTATTATTTTAATATTTTTTTAAATAGCAAAAATAGTTATTTGTCTATATATGATTTTGTATACCAACTTTTTTAAAACTATTGTCTAAAAATATCAAATATTTATGTGTACTTCTTTATTTATTATATTACCTATTTTGTTCACATTATTTTTAAAAGTTAAATGTTTTCATTTTCATTAATGTATTAATCTACTAAGTTATTATGCTATACATACTATCTTTTAGATTGTAATACTTATTTATCCACCAATATATATCCAACCTGCTCTTCTCCCTTATCTTCCTCCAACCTCTCTTTACCCAAAATCCCTCTTCGAGTAAGCCCATCGGCCTCTGGTCGCTAACGGACAAGCGGCGATAGCTTCATACACCCTGTCCAAAGTGAGTCGAAGTTCCATTGTCTAAACACCAACTCGTACTGTTTCTTTTTCGTCCATAAGTCGGGTTTAGAGACTGCCAGTTTCTACTGGTACAGTTTCGGTTTGTTGGCGTGAGAATCTCCGTCTTGGTGCAATCCCAGACTCGAGTACCTCCCTCTGGGTAATTTTCGAGAATAAACCATTCCCAAACGATACACGACAGCTTCAAGGCCTGGCCTGGCCTTGCCGTCATGACGACCCTGGGGTCGTCGGGCCGAAGGACTAATGACGGCCGGCCCGAAATACATGGTGATTATAATCGATGCCGGCCCCCGATGGGCATGTTGTATCGCTTCGACAGAGCAAGTGTTTACACACTTCGTCGTGTCCATGTCGTGTCAGTCTCCCAGTGGCAGGTCGGGCCCGATACTGCCGAGTCGGCGTGAGAGGAAGCCTCGAAAAATGAGATAAGCCTGTCCTGAGCCTTGCACGAGGGTGATGGGGAGAGGAGTAGGAGGGGGAAAAGAGTAGCTTCGAAGCCGCCGCCTCGAAGAAGCACTCAGTTACAATCGCCCTCATTCTAACATAAAATCCTTGACGCACACACTATCAAAGGACGCAAGGTCCGTCTTCTTTTTAGCCTGTTCCTCGTGTCTCTGCCTCACTTGGGCAGATTATCTCTGAACCCTGTCAAAATGCGTCCTTTTTCGAGGCATCAGCCGGCTTGGAGACCATTTAGATAAATATTTTTAAGGCTGTTCGAAGAACATAGCTTGTAAGCGGCTGTCTGAGACATTTGGATCTCCTTTTTTCAATACTAAAAGCGCATGACGACGAATGACAACACAAGGGTCAGGCTAAAGCTGAAGTCAACAAGCTACAGGTGATCCGAAAGGTGATTGCCTCGGTCGCATTTGTCCGAGTCTAAATTGATCCGATGTTACCGAGGCTTCATGCACCCACGGGGAATTTGGTCACTTAAAACTGGGTTTCAAAGAATCCTTCATTTTATTTAGTTTTTTAGAATCGACATTTGAGACTGCCACTAGATCAGGAATAGAAATGTGTTCATTTTGTTTTGCTTGAGGTGATGAAGAATTGATAGTTGAATTTCCCCACAATCATATAAGTAGGCCTCTTGTTCCCATTTAATTTCATATATCCTTTCGAAACCCAACTTTTCTTCGCAGATTGGAATACCTTTCGGAAAGCAAGGCTATGTGAAATGTAATGGAAACATAATGTTTTAATTATATGATTGTAAAGTTTCCAATTGCTCCAAGGCCTTCTGCCGCTTTTTTTTCACATCCACTTTTTTGACTTAGCGTGAGGGGGATCTTGACCCGGTTTTGTTGGTATCACGAAAACAAGTGTACTACGATCGGTGTGCCAGATAAAGGATCGTCTCTCGGTCTGGCCATTAAGGTTAGAGGGCTGGTCGCCGTAATCTGGCTACGGTTAGCCAAATAAGGCACCGCATTTCAGTAATATATCAGTAGTATACCAAAAAAATCCGGCAGCCCATGACTAAATAGGACAAAAATGCTTTTATAGGCATTCAGTTCACACCTTAGGTCTCTTGCTGTGATGTGAAGGATGATAATGAGTTTATTCCCAACACCGAAGCCTGCAGATGACCTTCCGGAAACCCTACTCAATTACGAATATAATTAATTTTGCTTGACCAGACGCAATCATAGCCATATCTGAGTATAATCGGCATCCCAACGAGATTCGAGAACGGCCCATGCCGAAAAAGTGCCCCAGATGCCAGTGGATGACAGGACAGATAAAAATGTCTATACAAGTCTGGCCCTACTTAATGCACTTTTATGATGTTCCCGAGGTGGATAAAGCAAACTTTTATTCGAGACGAGCACAGTGCAATTCAAGATTTACTGATAATTTTTTCAACCAACTAAAGTAATATGAGATGAATTCACCCTCTTTCGTTTAAGGTGATGAAGGACTGGTAGTGGAATTTTCCCACAATCGTATGAGTAGAGCTGATGTTTCCATTGAATTTCATATTTGGCTAAGCAAGGTTATATGAAATTAAATTAAAACGTCAGCTTTACTCATATGATTGTGGGAAAATTTTACTACCAGTCCTTCATCACCTCAAACGAAATGGAGTGAATTCATCTCATATTACTGATTTACTGGTAGTCTCGAAACTCTACTCACATACGAAAAATAACAAAAGTTATGAATAGTCGTGCTGTCGAAGATGGTGATGAACACAGGTTTGTCATAATCGAAACAGGCCCGCCAAAAAGGTGTGAAATGGTAGAGGCTTGGCTTACCTTGTGCCGTGTAT